GACCCACTCACGATCTACTAAATGTCAAGTAGTTCTATATTGGTTCAAATCCAATTCGTGAGCATGTGGAGGTTCCGCTCCTCTCGCCTAACTCGAGTTGCTTAGCCCCTTTTTGAATATCAAGCTTGTGCACAGGCCTCTCTCTTCCTTCTTGCTTCACACCTGCTATTGACCCCAAGCCAAGCAATGGCCTTGTTATTTATAAGGGGTGCGGCTATGCCGTGTTCTCGGTGTATGCGCGAAGTTCATCTTCTATACCGTCCATAGTTGGCGGGCAATTCGTCGTTCATGCATTTGGGACCGTTGTCGCTGGAGATTGAACTGAGTGCTAGGCTTCCGCTGTCGGTCCGGCCCGGGTGATGAAACTGAACGTACTTTGGTTAGTCATTCTGCTTGTATCGACTTCCGTTTGTCCCTCTGTTCCTGATCCTTTCAAGCATAGAATGAGGCGAGTGGGGATTGCCGGGTTTTAGGCTTATAAATCATAGGGGGGATTACTTCATAAAGAAATGCTTTCAAAAGGGAAATGTGAAGTACTCTTACCGGGACGCCAGATGAAGCAAAAATCCTTTGAATGAATGCCTTAGTAAGGTATCATGCCTTTGAAAGCAATTACCATGTCGTCCGAAGGGGATTCACTGTCAATTCCTTTAAGGAATGTCGGGATGCTAAAGAAATATTGCCATGAGACTAGTGCAAAGAAGTAAGAATAAGTCAAAGTGAAATCTGTTAATGAAATATCTGTCTCGCCCTTAGCTTGCAAACAAGCCCTTATATAAAACAGGCGTCTAAGAATAAGAAGTCCCTGCTTTGGCTCTTTCTCTAAGACCGTGGTTAATAAGTTCCGTCGTTATTCTTTTTTTGTGCAAAAGAAATCCCGGGTTCCACTTTGAGTTTGGCGTCTATCGTTGGTCTTTTCAATTTCTTTATTTGGCTCTTTGCTCAGGATCTACGTCTTTTCCCACTCGTCTTTACTTTGGGGGCGGACCAAGCCCTTCATATGGTCCAGCCCGATGGGGCAGGTAGTTCCGGTGGAGAAGGTCCATCAGGCTACTACTCACCTCCTCCTTCGATCTCCACCCAGGGAGAATCATGGATTGATAGAGTCTTTGGTGGAACGGGGGGTGACGAGGCAAGCAGTGCCCCACCCGCAAGCGTGGATAAAGCGGGAGGCGCCGGCCATAAAAACAATAGCAATCCGCCCCTCAGAGAGAGGGGAGACTCGGTAGATGTCTTACTGGCAAATCTCCGCGCGTTGCGGGAACAGGATATATCAGACGCCTGCTCGCAAGAGCAATATCACATTGTCGCTGGGACGCACGCTATATTGGAGCGGGCGGGAATCGTCCTACAGGATCCAAATTCGAGCGTGCAGTGAATATTGCCATGACGGGTCAGGAGCAGGAGAAGAGCGCTCTGGCCGAGACCACATCAAAGGAACTAAAGCTTTCACTGACCCCACAGGCCTTTTTGCTATCACACAAGAAGAATTCCTTATTGCCAATGATGCTAACCATACCTCACTAGCCTTAGCTGAGTGAATAGAAAGATGAACATAGCATAGTAAGTAGTGAGACCTTAAAGGCCTAGTACGACCAGACAGAAGCAGAATCCTAGTGTTCCCCCAGGGATTGGTCATTCATGAGCCTTTATAGATCAGGCCAAAAGAAAGAGTAGCGGTGACAAGTATACGCCAGCCCCGTCAAGCAATGCTTTCGCCCTGTCCAACTCTATGCAATTGTGAATCTCGACTTGATGAGAAAAGTCTTAAGATAGATCGTAGTCAAACAGGGCATCCCTTTACTCTCTACCGGCTGATGCAAGAAAGTAGACAGGGTCAAACGAGACTGAGCTTTTCTATCAGCAGCTCAACCTGAGTACTTTGGAAATAAATCCCTCTCGCCAAGACTAGTTCTCTTAGCAGTAGGAGTCGACCCCATATAAAGTTCTGACCATCTATCAGAGCAAAACGAATGAATTGGCGCATTACCCCGAGATTGTTCCCTTTCTTCCGGAAACGGATGTTTTAGCGTGGGTTTATGGCTCTTTTCGTTCCGTTTTAAGAAAGGCCAAGAACTTGATCTTTGTTTTCGTTGTTGAATCTTTCAATATTCCGAATCTAAAAAATATCTTGGCTGTCCATACATATTATCTCTCATTTCATTAATGTATATATTCTAATATCTACTTTAGCATTTCCCATATAAAATAGAATATATGATATATGCGATTTGATGTTTATTATTTCATATTTTATCATTGATCATTTCATATATCATAATAGATAGATTCTAGGATAGAGATAGATCTATATAATATATCTCTATATTCTAGATATAGATAGATTATATCAACAGTAAAAACTAACATCTTTCTTGAGACTTAAACTAATAAGGAATGAATGAAAATTCGGGATGGAATCCACTATTTACAGAAAAAAGGATTGAGTTATTAGAGAATAATAAATATAGCGAGAAGTTCATTCTTCGTCACCGCAGTGAATATAATAGAGCAAATACAATTTATTCATTCAAATATATGAAAAAAGAAATCCACTTGGTTTCAGACTTGGTACAAACCAAGGCCATTATTCACTTTGTCAAAACCGTCATGACTCAATCATGTATAGGCTATCGTAGATCGGCCTTTGCCAGGAAGTCCCATAAACCCTCGGAGGTCAAGACACCAGGAAGAACTGCCGCTCGCTACGTTCCCTCTAAGAGTGAAGGGCAGAGAGTTCTGGTCTCTCTTCTTGCGCATAGGACTTCTTTATTTCATAGCCAGATAGATGGAACTCTGATTAAGAAGGAATTGATTCCCCTCCTATATAGAACAGGCTCGTAGGCAATTCAAACATTTGGACTCCTGCGTATCCTTTCAAAAGAAGGAAGCTCTTCTTCTCAAGGCAAAGGGATATTTGATAATAAAGTAACCTATTCGCTCAAGAGCAAAAAAAGAGCTAAAGGTATAGGCTTCAATCAAATAAGTATTTCTACTTCATTAACGAATTTATATAACTTGCCTTAGGTATTGAAAACTCACTTCTTAGCTAGCACTTGTGCCAGGAAAGAAATGAATCTATCAGCGCCTTAGACCCCTTAGATAGAGTGAAAGGAAAGAACGAATTCTTAAGATAAGCTATTCCCTTTAAGGGAAAGAGATCTATCTATTACTGAAGCCCCAATGGACTCAACTTTCTCCCAACGGAAGAAAACACTTCCCTGCTACTAGGCTAGCTGATTATCTAGTCTGGATCTTTATAAGGTATATTATATCGGCTCCATCGAAAGCGGAAGGATTCCAATTTGATGACGGCCTAATCAATTTCAAACCTATCTTTCTTTCTCGCCTGAAGGCACAGGCAGGCCTATCTCATTGGTGGTTCAGGATCAACGGATGCCTTAGTAAGCTACTGGAGCGAAAGGAACAAAACAAGTGAGGATGCTCGAGGTCCAAACTCAAAATAAGTCCTTGTTGCAGGCTTCATACAATTGAACTTATTTAGGAGCCCGTAATAAATCAATAAAAGCAGTTCCAGCAGCAATCCCTTGCTTTCGTACCATGGCTGTAATTTACTTATAGAGTACAACAGCCGATTCCATAGGCATTCTGGCTTGATGAATGCTTGAAAAATCCCTTCCTTCTTTTTGGCTTATTCAACAAACGGTATAAGACTTATCTAATATCACTACCGCACTATCTATGTCCTATTCTTAGACTCTTATACCTGCTCCGATCGGAGATGAAAACAAGAGAGAAGGAGCTGCTATTGAATCCGGTCTTAGATGGTTGGAAGACAGAAGCAATAGCATGATAGGAATAGCAGGTTTAATAGAGATGACATCACAATAGGATGAAGACGAGACTTCTTATCTGCTTTCACGTGGAAATGGGAGAATGTAAAAATTCCTTTGAAAGGCAACTAGTGAGAGGGATTACTTGCTAACGTCCCTCAGGGATTGGACAACAACTAGGCTATTAGCAAGAATAGGTTTTGCAAGTGAATCAGAATAAGAGTTAGCAGGGCTAGGCTCCCTCTCCTTGGGCTTGTTGGCCTAGCTGTTGGTTTTTTCCGGTGCTAGTGAATCAGATGTTTGAAGGCAAAATGCCACAGAAGGAAGAGAAATAGCTGTTCGCAAGGGAAGTGACATAGTTAGTGGAAATGGAACCATCGAATGCAGAATTACGTAATTATGCCGGATCAATTTCCTTAGGCCGGAGGCGCGCACAACAACCAAACCACTTTGAGGGATTTATCGCTGGGGCTAATCTTCTCCTAAGCTGAACTCACATAAACGCTTCAACTATTTGTTTCTTTATAAAGTGAAGTCTAGCTAATGCTATGAATGAGTTCCAAGAAAGCGTAATCTGACCTGACTAGAGTATGGGTGCGGGAGGAATAAACCTACAGACGATCTTTCCGTTCCCCAAGGTGTGATTCTGGTTCCCAGCCCTTAACCCGGATTACCAAAACGAAGAATAGCTATGTTTCGTTCATCTCTTTCTCTTCCGTATCTTCACTATGTAATTTCTGGATAGCTAGATTCGATAGAAGCCTAAAACTCTGGGCTTATTATACGGTAGCACTCGCAAAGGGAAAGCCCCTATGAAAGGAAAAATGTAAATCTTCAATCCCTAGCGAAAAGTACTCTTCACTGCTGGCTCCAAGATCTACAACTAAAGGGTCCCAACTCTCTATTGTATACTGGGTTCGTTTCCTATTTTCGTGAATCGCGTTTTTCAAGTTTTCTTTTTTCTTTCTTTATCGGACAGGTGTATGCTGGAGAAGAATGAAGCCTCCCCTCTAAAGGAAGTCGATATACTTACTGTCTTGCTTTTATTTCTTCAACTCATTTGTAAGGAAACTCGGATGAAAGAAAAAAATAGGTAGCTCTGCACTCCCAAGTATACGATTCTGAAACCTTATCTTATTTAGGAGTGACATAACCCGGTTTCATTTAAAAGGGGTCCTCTAGCCAGCCCTTTAAGATAAGATATAT